AGGCATGTGCCACCATGCCCGATTAATTTTGTATTTTTGGTAGAGACGGGGTTTCTTCATGTTGGTCAGGCTGGTCTCAAACTCCTGACCTCAGGTGTTCCACCTGCCTTGGCCTCCCAAAGTGCTGCGATTACAGGTGTGAGCCACTGTGCCCAGCCAGGTTTTTTTTTGTTTTGTTTTCTCTGTTAGAAGGTTTATTACTATAAGTTATGAAATCTTTAGAAATCACTGACATGGTAAAATCACTTGTATACAAAAAGAATCAGAGCTGGTCCCTTCTGGGGTTTCAGACAAGAGTAGGTATTAATAATAATATGAACCTCATACGATACCAAAATAGAAAGTGGAATCAAAATTCAGCTTTCCTGGTGCTACTATCTCACCAAACAGTCATTCCATTTCTTACGGTTATATCCCATAAGACAAGAACATTTAAGGATTGAAGAGTTCGATAAATAGGGTTTTTAAAACTAATGGTCTTGGAACAGACACAACCACCAATGCTTGAGAATCCTAACCAATAGTTTCCAAACTCTATTTTACAAAAATCCCAGGGTCTGGTAGAGATGCTTCCTATTTGAATAAAAATGTCAGTTCCAAAATATAGTCTAGGCTGAACATGCTGGCTCATGCCTACAGTCCCAGCACTTTGCGAGGCTGAGGTGGGAGGACTCCTGGAGCCCAAGAGTTTGAGACCAGCCTGGGCAATACAGTGATACCTCATCTCTACAAAAAAATTAAAAAATTAGCAGAGAGTAGTGGTGCATGATTGGGAAGCTGAGGTGGGACGACTGCTTGAGCCTGACTGGTAGAGGCTAAAGTGATCTTGACACTGCAACTTGACACTGCAACTTCTCCAACCCTGGGCAACAGAAAAAATACACTCTAAAATGTGTTACATTCCATATTGGAACACCAACTGATAATTTTTTTTTTTGCTACATTAACCCAGTTTGAGGCAGGCCTAGACAGATTCTTCTGATATCTCCATATACACACATTTTAACTTCTAAGAAATGTATCACTCATCATAATGAATTATTTCTGCAGTGAAGAGATGCTACACCTGTACAAGTCTACTAATGTTATGATGGTAAATTAAATGTCAGGAAAGACTGAGACATTCCTGCTCAAATTGCCCTGTTCATAGCATAAATCAGTTGGAACAATAAATGACATCCTATTGTATTATCTATTATTACTAATAATTTTAGCTCTCTGATTATATTTATGCTACAGAATGTTCATCTGTTGGTGAGTCTACTTTAACTTACTATTCTTTCAAGCTGGAAGAATGTAAGGCATGTTGTTAAAAAGGTTGTTAGTGGTTATTTTAGATGGCAGTAGGAATTATGGAGAACTTTATCTTTTATGCAGTATATTCCTATAATATTTGAATTTGTAAAATGTAAGCATGTATTACAATAAAGATTTTAACTGTTATCAGATGCAAAGTAGGTATGAATGAGGATTTTCTCCATACTGTCCAACTAAAAATACAGAAATAAACTAGAGGCTGCAGTCATTAAAACCACCTCACTTATCTCATAAACTGACTTTCTAACAACACACATTTCAATTTACAAAAAATAAATCTATTATTAATACCACTTTAATGTGCTTTATTACTTTTTAAAATCAGATTTTCATTTAAAAAAACAATTCTGGCTGGGCATGGTGGCTCACACCTGTAATCCAAGCACTTCTGGAGGCTGAGGCAGAATTGCTTGACCCCAGGAGTTCGAGATCAGCCTAGCAGGGTATGGTGGTATGTGTCTGTGGTCGCAGCTACTAGGGAGGCTGAAGTGGGAGAAATCGCTTGAGTTCATATGGTCAAGGCTGCAGTGAGCTGTGATTGCACCACTGTACTTCAGCCTGGGAAACTGAGCAAGACCTCATCTCAAAAAAACAAAACAACATAACAAAACAACATAACAAAACAAAACAAAACAAAACAAAACAAAAAAACCAAATCCCAAACCATGCAATAATTCTGCCAAAAATGCTTTTTAAAACCAGTATAAGGTACTGTGTTAAGAATATCATTACTGGAGTCTATACTACATGGCTTTAAATCCCAGTCCCATGATTTGCTATGTGGGACACGTTGGTCAAGTTTTATCTTTCTAAACTCAAGTTTCTCTTTTTTTCTTTCCTTTTTTTTTTTTTTAAGAGACAGGGTCTCTCTCATCCAGGCTTATATCTCATTGCAGCCTCAAACTCCTGGGCTCAAACTGACCCTCCACCTCAGCCTAAAAGTAATTATTTATAAAATATTGGTAACAGCATTATCTATCTTATGAGGCTGTTTTGGGAATTAAATGAGATAAACCAAGTAGTCACCATTAACATATAGTTATTAATTACTGATCTGAATTCAGATAGATGGAAGCAGCATTTGTGAGTGAAATTTCAGATTACAAAAATCTTCACTAAGGTTGTTGTTCAGTTAATATTTCTTATTTAACTAAATCTCATTCCAAATAGGATTTACAGCAATTTAAGAATACATCTACATCCCAGCTACTTAGGAGGCTGAGACAGGATGATTGCTTGAGTTCAGGAGTTGAAGACCAGCCTGGGCAACACAGTAATAAAAACCATGTCTCTAAAAATAAAATAATTTTTTTAAAGAACGCACCTAACAGAGTGGTATATAAAAAAAGATGTAAAAAGCAGATAAAGGAAAATAAAGATAGGAAAATAAACCGTAGTCAAGGTAACATCTATATATAAGTAGAGATCATATAAATTTCCACACAACTTCTACAGGCAGGCTGTTTCCAACCATTTGGCTCTTTTTCCAGAAGTCTCAACAAAAGGAAACACAATCAGTTATGAGATTCACGCCAGGAGAAACATAACATTTCTTAATACAGAGACCTAAGAGAAATTCCTTATGGACTCCTATAAAGACTAACAAAGGAGATACCACATATTATGTGTTGATTCTCAACTGGGAGAGGTACAACTCACCAACCTCCCCACTCACTCCCACACCCAAGGGGCCACTTGAAAACCTAGCTGGGCATTTTTTGTTGTCACTGTAGTGGAACATGCTAGTGACATTTAGGGAGTGGGAACTGAGTAGGTGAAACACAATGCTTTCAATAGCCTACACCTAGGGTCAACAAACTTTTTCTGCGAAGGAGACAGTATTTTCGTCTTAGCAGGCTATAGGGTCTCTGCTGCAACTACTCAATTTTGTTTGTAATGGGAAAACAGCTACAAATACTACATTAAAATTTAAGCATGACTGTGCTTCAATAACATTTTATTTATGGACACTTAAATTTGGATTTCATCTAATTTTCTCATGTCACAAAATACAATTCTGTTGATTTTTTTCAACTATTTAAAAACAGATACAAGAACAGGTTGCGGACAAGATTTGACCTGTAGGAGTCAGAGCTTGCTGAACCCTGTCCTATCCAATGAAGAAATATCTCACCCCAAATGCAAAGAGATGAGAAGACCTGTAGGACTCTTACACAGTACTTCTATAAGTATATCAGCAGGTTTCCCCCAGCTTTTTCTGAAGATGTAGGCTAAATATACCACAAAAAAATTTTATTCAATAGTTACTGCGAACAGGTATGCTAAACACAATGCTATCTTAATATCTTATAGTCTTACCCTTGAAGACTTCATTTCTCTTTCTTTTTTTTGAGATGGAGTTTTGCTCTTGTTGTACAGGCTGGAGTGCAATGGCGCAATCTTGGCTCACCACAACTTCCGCCTCTCAGGTTCAAGCGATTCTCTTGCCTCACCCTTCCGAATAGCTGGGATTACAGGCATGCACCACCACGCCCAGCTAATTTTGTATTTTTAGTAAAGACGGGGTTTCTCCATGTTGGTCAGGCTGGTCTCGAACTCCTGACCTCAGGTGATCTGCCTGCCTCGCCCTCCCAAAGTCCTGGGATTACGGGTGTGAGCCACCACGCCCGGCTGACTTCATTTCTGTTAACC